TGTTCGCACAGGCTCGTGTAAGCACTGGTTTTTTTGAAGGGGGATAAATATAATCCTATCACAGCCAGCTTTTTACTTCAACATTGATTTTGAAATGTCCTTTTCACACAATGAATACAATGCCATTCCTCTTGATTTTGTTATTCCCAGGATAGTAAATCATATGATTTTCTAATTCAAAATGGCCAGCACCAGTCTAGTTCAGCTCAATAATGTCTAGGATATCTAACGCTACACATTCTTTTTCACTTCTGATGACTTCCAATTTTCTTAAATTCATACTTCACACATCTTTCTAGCAGTCTCAAAAATAAAAATATTTTAATTTCAAATATCGAATATCCTATATTTGAAATACAAATACAAATTAAATCTAATAAAACAAAATCCACACCAACTAGTTGATTCCAACTCTATGGAAGGCTATAAATCTTCACAAGGGCAGACTATCAACAAACTGTCAGAATGTAATTCAGCAAAAAGACACTTCTATTGGAATATCATAAATTACATTTCTTTATAATATTCTATAAACTCACACATTTCATCTATTCAAATGGCTTCCTCCCACCTAGCCCACTGCCCACTCATGCCACAAATTCATATTAATCAGTAGTATTTCACTCTGCCTACCCAGACTCACAGTTTCATAAACTACATGGAGAATAAGTGACTTTCCCCCACCTGTTAAAACCCTCACATGCACTACTCGGTGAAAACGCTTGGCACACAAACAAAGAAATCACAGACCACTTACACGAAATGCTGCAAGAATAATCCTTGTTACTTTCTCTTTGACAGACTCTTGAAGGATGTCAGACAGAACAGGAATGATGTTGTAGCGCCGCAGGTGTTCGCACATTTGAGGACTGAACGCCAGGAGCCAGATTGAAAATATCATTTGATATTGGAGTTGGAAGCCACACTTGTTACTCAAAACTCCCATTATGCTGAAAAGAAACATATATTTAGAGAATACTTTTAACAATAATAAGCATAAGAACAAAGAATTGATTTTTATGTTTTGACACAAACAGAGTAAGTCTTATTATGTTCACAATCTTTTCTGCCAACTGTGAAAAGCAGCTAGATACACGTGCTCATAGAATGCTGTTTGCACCTCAATTCTGTTTAATCCTCTCTCCAAAAGTCTTGGGACCTCGAGCAGCAACAACTGCAGGGAGCTGAAGAGAAAGGTGACAGAGGCTCGGACTAGGACTCCGGGGATGGTAGGAAAAGCATGAGACAGAAGCGAAAATCATCACCATTTGGCAACAAGGAGATAGTCTTGGTGAAATCAAATGTCTTTTGACTTTGCATCTAGGCAACTAAAAGGATTGTTTTCGCTTTAAAATATGTAAGAAACTCAAGAGGAAAGCGAATTTTGGGAATAATGAGGGCAACAAATGTACAGATGTGCTTTACCCAATTGATCTATGTATTGTGATGAATTGTATGAGCCTCAAATTGATTTAAAAAATATATATGTAAGAAACTCAAGTCAGAAAAGAGGGGATGCGTTTGGAGGAAAGCTATGATAGATACATATCTGACATACCCATCACCGAGTTTAAGGATCAGAAAAGACCTTACAACAGTTTCTAGATGAACTTCTCAGTTTTCTCACAAGGAAACTGGAAAAGCGACACTGAAATGCAAAAGCAGCACCAAGGAGAGAGTATATATAATTGAAGGCGAGAGCTCGAGAAAGTCCTGTGGGGAGTGCCTACCTTCAGACAGCGATGGACAGAAATCCCCAAGTAACAGTAAAATAGCATGACCACAGAGGTGCAGAGAAGTAAGAGGTAGTGTACTGCTACAGAAGGAGCCCTGGTGGCGTCGTGGTTACACGTTGGCCTGCAACAGCAAGGCCGGTAGTGTGGAAGCTTCTAGCCACTCTGCAGGAGAAAGATGGGCCTTCCCACTCCTGTAAAGTTTCTAGCGTTTCTACGCCTGTAAAGGTGGAACTCTCAGGGGCAGGTCTACCCTGTCCATTAGGGTTGTTGTGAATCAGCAACCACCTAATGGCAGTGAGCTGAGTTCTTTAGGTACTGCTGCAGAAGCCCAGGCTGAAAGTCTGCAAAGGAGTGTGGTCCACAGTAATGCAGAAATGCTAAAAATAGTAAAAAAAAAATTCCACAAGCTGTGTAAACCCACTGAAAAAATAAGTGAGTTATCTATAAATATAGAGTAAGCAAGAAACCCTGGTGGCGGTGTGGTTACGAGTTGGGCTGTGATCTGCACAGGCAGCAGTTTGAAACCACCAGCAGCTGTGAGGAGGAAAACCGGAGCTCTCTTCGTCTGTAAAGTCAGAGTCCCAGACACCTACTGGGGTGGCTGTGAGTCAGCCATGACTTGATGGCAGTGAGCTTGGTTTGGTTACAGAGGAAACAAAACAAAACACCCTCGTGAAGCAAAATAAACTTCCCTGTTTACCAGAATAAGGAAAGGATACCTTTAGGGACAAGACCTGATCTCATTTCCAAAATTTCCTGGATTTTTTGGTTTGTATTATATTGTTTGGGCTTTGCTTGTTCATAGTAGAGTGTATCTCAGAGGTGTGATGTCTTTGGAGGTCACCCTCTTGAAGCTGTGTTCTGTGCTTTTCTGGTTTTCAGTATATGAAATCCAGGACTGATGAACCTCTAGGGACAGCAAATAGAATAAGGAGATCGGGGGGAGGGGGTACAATGCTGGTGGGGGGAGGGGGCAAAAGGTAACCAATGTCAAGGAGTTTATGTAGAAAAACACGGTTGGAAACTGACTGTGGTAGCAACTGTACAATTCTACTTGACATGCTTGAAATATGGAATGATATGTTATATGTGTTAAATCCCAACTAATAAAAAAAA